GCCAGAGTGCTCCTTGGAGGCCAGGATGGCCAAACTTTGTCTCTCATACTTAGGACATATTGTCAGAAGGGAGCAGTCACTGGAGAATTATATCATGTTTGGTAGGGTGGAGGGTCACTGAAAAAGAGGAAGACCCCCAACAAGATGGATTGGCCAAGTAGCAGCATCGATGGATTCAAGCATGGCAACAATAGTGAGGTTGGCCCAGGGTCGGATAGTGTTTCGTTCTGCTGTGTGTAAGATCGCAATGAGTCGGTACCAACTCAATGGCACCTAACAACAACAACAATATCCAAGTTGCCTATCTCTGTCTACCCTGTGTATCGTGGGGATGGGGATGATCTTCGCTGTAAAGATTTGTTCCCTCTTTTGAGCTACTGCATCCATAGGTGTAGGTCAAGTTCATGAAATTGTATCAGATTACTCTTTTTTTCCTCTTCTTTCTTCTTCTAGTTGAGTTCTGATCATCCAGCCATTGAAGCCAGGTCAAGTGGGTATTATCAGCAAGTGTGTGTGTTCTTGTGCATATGCCCTCTCTTCTTAGCAACTGGATGCTTCACTCTCCACTCTAGACCCCTGTGGTTATGTCACTGACTCTGGGCCCAGGAGTCCCTAGGTCTTGCTATACTGCTGACCAACCAGGTCTCCAGCTGGGTTCACAGGAGTCTATTGAATGTGGTAGGGCTTAGCTCACAGACTGAAGGTTTTTTTAAAAATTTATTTTTATCAACTTCTGAAGTCTATAATTGATCAAACATACAATCAAGTTTCACTAATAATTACTGGTGATTTGAGTGTGAACAATGGAAACAAAGAAGGAAAATATGACCTTGGCGATAGAAACAAAGCTGGGAATTGTATGATAGAATTTTACAAAACTAATGACTTATTCGGAGTCCTAGTGTGGCACTGTAGGTTAAAGCACTGGGCTACAAGGTCGGTTTGAAGCACAAGGTGGGTGCTTCAAACTCACAAGCCACTCCTTGGAAATCCTACGCAGATCGCTATGAATGACAATCGACTTGATGTTACTTAACAACAAAAACAACATTCCATTCAATAAGGTCTATATGTAAGAATGTTCACTTTTGTTTTTTGAAAAAAGGTATTTGTAGTAAATAAGTCATTTTTGTTGTTAAGTGCCATCGAGTTGGTTGCGACTCACAGCGACCCTGTGGAATAAGCACTGGACTACTAACCACCATGTCAGCAGTTCAAGCCCACCAGGCGCTCCTTAGAAATCCTATATAGGGTTTCTATGAGTTCAACTCAACAGTATTTAACAACAACAATGTTTCATAAGGAACCACGTCTGATTGAAAGAAACTCTTATGTTTTGGCAATTATTTTTTGAAATATAAAGAAATCATTAAGAAGATGAATTACCAACTCTTATCATATTAGCATCTACTGAACATTCATATCAGCATCGCTGTATGCACATAAATGAAATCTTGGTGCAAGGGTTACCGAATTATAAGTTATAAAGCAAAGGCATATTTACAGTAACACAAGTTTATTATTTTGTTTTGTTTCATATTCTAACATTCCATGTTATTTGAAATAACAATTTGTTATTTTATTTTCATTTACTTAGGGATGTCACCTGGCATCATGACTTAAATAGATTTACTTTTAATAAATGTGTTGTTGTTAGTGTCTATATTAATTATATTTTGAATATTATTTAATAAAGCTTGTTTTTATTTTTGTATGTGAGGGATTTAAAAAAGTTTGTGCAATGATGGAATTAAAAGATAATGGACTTTCCCCATTAACTTTTTGAAGTCACCTCATATAGATACACAGTCTCTGGGAGGCATAAAGGGTTAAGCACTTGTCTACTATTTGAGTTCAGGCTGAAGCTGAAGAAAATTAAAAGAAGTCCATGAAAGCCAAAATGTGATCTTGAACTTATCCCACCTGAGTTTACTATCGTCTCAAGAACTGATCTGGTGCATTAGACGCTAATGACCAAAGACCAGAAGAAATGTGGGATGACATCAAGAACACCATACGAGAAGAAATCAAAAGGTCAGAAGACAAGAAAGAAGGAAAAGACCAAAATGAACGTCAGACGAGACTCTGAAACTTGCTTTCCAGCACAGAAATACTAAAGCAAATGGTAGAAATAAGGAAGTAAAAGAGCTGAACATAAAATGTCAAGGGTAGCTCACGAAGATAAAGTCAAGTATTATAATGAAATGTGCATAGACCTGGAGTTAGAAAATCAAAAGTGAAGGGCACACTTAGCATTTCTCAAGCTGAAAGTACTGAAGAAAAATTCAAGGCTTGACTTACAATACTGTTAGGTTCTATGAGCAAAATATTGAATGATGCAGGAAGCATCAAAAGAAGATGGAAAGAATACACACAGTCACTCTACCATGAAGAAATGGTCAATGTTCAACCACTTCAAGAGGTAGCATATGATCAAGAGCCAACGGTACAGAAGGAAGAAAGAAATCCAAGGTGCATTGATGGCATTGGTAAAGAACACTGATGGACTACAAATTGAAGTTTTTCAACAAACTGATGCAGCTCTGGAAGCACTTACTCATCTACGCTAAGAAATGTGGAAGACAGTTAACTGACCAACTGGAATATGCCTATTCCAAAGAAAGAGGACTCAACAGAATGAGAAAATTATTATTAATATCACATACAAGTAAAAGTTTGCAGTAGTACTTTGACAGGGAGCTGCTGGAATGCAAGCCATGTTCTGATTCAGGACATGGAAAGAAAAATGCCTATCATTTCTAATATCAGTTGGATCTTGAATGAAAGCAGAGAATATCAGAAAGATGCTTATCTGTTTTATTGACTATACAAAGGCATTTGACTGTGTGGATCATAATATTGTGAAGAATGGGAATTCCAAAATATTTAATTGTGTTCAGGTGGAACCTATACGTGGACTAAGAAGCAGTTGTTCAACAGAAAAAGGGGATACAGCATGATTAAAATCATGAAAGGTATATGTCAGCACTGTATCCTTTCACCAAATGTATTCAATCCATATGCTAAGCAAATAATTGAAGAAACTGGACTGTATGAAGAAGAACACAGCATCAAGAATGGAGGAAGTCTCATTAATAACTTGCAACATGAACATGACACAACTTTGTCTGCTGAAAGCTAAGAGGACTTGAAGTGCTTACTAATGAAGATCAAAGACCATGGCCTTCGGTCTTAATTACACCTCAACATAAAGAAGATGGAAATTCTCACAATTGGAACAATTAACAGCATATGACAAATGGAGACAAAATGGAAGTTTCCAAGGATTTCATTTTACTTTGATGTACAATCAGTGCCCATGAAAATTACTCTAGAATTCAAATATTGTATTGCATTGGCAAATCAGCTGCAAATGGCCTCTTTAAAGTGTTAGAAAGCAGAGATGTCAGTTTGAGTACTACGGTGTACCTGACATAAGTCATGGATTTGTCAATTTCATTGCATGTAAACTTTGGACAATGAATAAGGAAGACTGAAGATGACATGATCTCTTTGAATTATGGTGTTGGCAAATAATATTGACTATACCATGTATTACCAGAAGAATAGAACAAATCTCTCTTAGAAGAAGTACAACTAGAATGCTTCTTAAAGGTGAGAATTTCCAGACTTTATCTCAGGTTCTTTGGACATGATATTAGGAGAGACCAGTACCTGGAGAGACACATCATGCTTGGTAAAGAAGAGGGCCAGTGAGAAGGAGAACAACTCTCAAGCAGATGGACTCACACAGTGGCTATGACAATGAGTAAATCTGTGAGGCTGGCACAGGGCAGGGCAGTGTTTTGTTCTGTTGCACATAGGATGGCTGTGAGTCAGAACCGACTCAGTGGCACCTAACAACAATAGTAAAAATTTCTTGGAATCATCTTAATATTTATTTTTGTTGAGAGCTTGAGTGGAAAACTTCATTCCTGATTTGCAGCTTTCTCTTTACCTCAAGAACTATGCTTTCCTTGCTACCCCACAGCCTCGGACTCCGAGATTACTTGGAGATGACACCTGTTTTATAAGGATCCATAGGAAATTCCTATGCTGTCTTTTCACAATGTGACCCTGCATCTGCTTGGCTGAAATGTGATCATGGTAAACAAAACAAAATGCACTAAAAACCTGCTCACAGACTGATGCAACTTCAGTGTAACAATTGTTACTGGGAAGCAGAGAGGATTCAGTGTATATTTTCCTTCCATTCAAAGTCGGTTTAACTCCTAAAAGATTAGTATAAAATTATACACACATGCATTTTACACTCACTCTCAGAATATTATGTTTTGAAGCTGAATGCCATCTTGTAGTAGAAAAAGCTATCTGAACCACTTTCTTTATAACTTTTAGTTTATAAAGTTCTTGTCCAAAATTCACTGTTTCATCTTACATTGATAAAATATTTATAAACCTCCGGTCAAAAAGCACAACTCATAAAAGAGTTTCATAGTCATTAACTTCTTAGACAACATTAAAATTCCACTGCGTCCCAAACAATCCAGATGTGAGTGCACATCCTAACTTCACTGGTACACCTGGTCCCTCTCCCACGGAGCATCCCAATTGGTCAACAGCAACTACCCCAGAGACTTCTGCCTATATCCAAGGGGCTGGACGGTTTGTCCACATGGGATACCTCCTGTGGCCTTCCCTGTCCCCCCCCTGTAGCCTCGTGCCCCTCATTGTCGGCCCGTGGTCCCTCTCCACCTCTGGTGCTCTGCGCGCACCTCCCAGGCCCTGGTGACCCTCTGAAGCCGCCCAACCACTCCTGGGACGCCTCCGGGCCGGGCTTCCCAGGACCCAGGGCCCAGGAACGTAAGAGCAGAATGACAAAAATGACGACAGAGATGACGCCATGCCGTCCTCGTCCCCCCGTGACCCCTGGGAGGCCGTGGCTTCAGGAGCGTCCTCACACCCACGCAGGTCGCCGTGCGCTCGGGGACGCGCTGGTGCCGCCGGACGCGCGCCCGCCCGCGCTAGGCTGTGCCCGCCCCCGCCCGTGCGCCGCTTGCCCGCCCTCCTCGCCGCCGAGCCTTCCCGGTTTCCCGGTCCTTTCGTGAACATGGCGCTTGTCCCCTGCCAGGTACTGCGGGTGGCCATTCTGTTGTCCTACTGCTCTATCTTGTGTAACTACAAGGCCATCGAAATGCCCTCGCATCAGACCTACGGAGGGAGCTGGAAATTTCTGACGTTCATTGATCTGGTAAGGCCGTCCCCTCCCCTCCCCTCCCCTCCCCCTGCACACCCCACTCCCCTCCAGGCTCCCAGCACCTCTGTGTATTTGTGGGTGTGTGCGCGTTTGCGCATACACGTGCGCGCTTACCCGTCCCTCCAGCATCTCCCTCCTGTCCTGGCCTCTTCCCTGGTGATTGAGTGTGAAGGCCTGGCTGTCACTGCAGCCCTTACCGTCTGAACACACAACATTACTTGGTAGTTGGGAGGTGGGACACAGCCAAGTGTTGGGCTATTTGGAAGGGAACACGGTTCTGCTTTTCTGAAGTGATGAGGGAAGATTCTCAACTAGGGAAAGGATAGGGCGACTTTGATCATGAATGGCTTTGGACCCCTGCACCCACAAGGTGCTTTACAGGGTACCCACCATGCGATGAAGTTGCTAACAGCAGGACACTAAATATTGTCTTGTACTTGGAGCCTCAGCCTAAAGGGACCGAATAAAATTGTCTTCTTTGCATCTGTTTTTGCCCATTGTTGGTATAGGCAGTCCCTTGGTTAAGAAAATCTGATTTATAGGCAACTCCTTTTTGTCCTTTCATGTTACTCTATGTACATTTGTCTGCACTTTGAAACAATTGAACCAACCCCTACTCAAAACAAATTCTTAATCACTTGCTGCATGTGCAGCATTTAAATAATTGAAAAGGCTTTGAGCTTCTTGCATGAAAGTAAGGCTAATTAAGATCTGTATGCACCTGTTCTGGCCAGCGGCCTTTGTCCACTCAAAGACACGGTTGGGTATGGATCTTATTCATAACTCAGGGACTGACTGTAATGTATTTCTGCCCTTTTTCGCAGAAACAGTAGAGAAGAGAGACTTTCATAATTGCATTCCCAGTGTGACTATTCACTTCTTCCTCACTTCTTATGTAAAAGTTTGCAATAGTTTGCATAAGCAGCTCTTCTATTGGTCCAACATTACAGTATTGATGATATTGGCAAGAATTTTTTGTTTACTTGTTTGTCTGAAATTTGATTTGCCTCTGCCGCTGCACAGACCCTCAGGGAGAATCAGACGATGGGCATAAAGTTCAGTGATGACATAGGGTGGATGCTAGTGCTTCAGGGTGAAAAGTGGCTAATTTATACTGGGTCTCACACACAAATGATAACCTAGCATAGGCAGAGGGATTCAAACAAAAGCAACAAGTTTTAAGGCTCATGTAGAGAAAAGTAGAACCAATTCCTGGGATACCACAACTGCCTACCCAAGGATATTTTCCAGGTTGGCATCACAAGCAAGATTGTAATCTCTAATTTTTTCCCCTCCATTTTGAGAATGAGAACTGTTGCTTATTTTAAGATATTTCAAAACCTTAAAATGTCTTAAAGAAATGAAGTCAGGTGCTTTTGTTTGGGAGCGCATTGGTTCCATATAATAAATACTGGACTGTGAACCACAAAATCCATGGTTTGAGCCCCCTAGCCGATCCACAGGAGAAAGATGAGGCTTTCTGCTTCCACAAAATATAAAAAGCTTCAGAAACCCTATTCTGGGTTGCTATGAGTCAGAAATGACTCCAAGGCACTTAACAACAACAACCTTATATTTACATTCAGTTAGATACTTTCTGGAATCCTGGTGTGGCGCTGTAGGATAAGTACTGAACTACTAACCACAATGTCAGCTGTTCAAACCTACTTGTCTCTTCAGAAACTATAAAGGGTCGTTCTGCATCAGAACCAACAATAACAAGAATATATTTGCAGTGATGGATTTAAATTCTTTTCTCCAGCAGTCTTCAAACTGTGTTGCACACTTTTAGGATACTCTAGGCTTCCCAGTCAAGAAATCAAATGACGTATTGCATT